TGGTCATTGCCGTCTTCCTGGATGGGGATCCCGAGATGGAACACATCAATAGTTACATACATTGTCAGCCGTGGCTCAGTCGCGCCCTCACCGGCGCTCGTGCATCCAAGCCGTTGCCTTCAATCTGTAGCTCCCTTCCTAATCTCCTTAATAAAAAGTTCGTAAACGATCCTGCGTTTACGCATCAGTTAGGTTAGTTCCCGCCCCTAATGCGCAGCTGCCTACGCGATCCACCCAAATCATCGGTAGACGAAACTGTGGCAGCTATAACCACTGCACGGCAAGCATGCGGTTCTCACAGCTGATGACAATAATGGTGATGACAGATAGGCACCGAAAGGGTGTTACAGCCTAGTGACTGCTTCAACTACTACTGCGCAATCAGCATGTACACCTTACTCTGTGCGCACTCATATCAGGCTAACCACCTGCATGCAAGTGATTAGACAATCGAGTCATTGGTTCCGGTGCCTCTCAAAAAAACTCCATCAACTCTCTAACGGTCAACTTTCCGTTCGGACTTTTGAATCAGAGACTAGGGTAAAGGTTTCCGGACAAAACCCTATATAGTCCTACTGCTTTATTGATCAGATGTTTGAGTTAAAGGCTCATTGGTGGACCGGAAGGTCCATGATTCGAGCCAGACCTCTGAATCTCTACTGCCCCCGTCTAGACTGAGGCAACTTGACAGCGTCTCGGCCCCCTTACCTCCTTCGGGTGACATGGTAGCTAAGCACCGAAACAATGTCACAGATGAACCATTTTTTAGCCACCAGAAAGCATAATCCACCGTTACAGTTCTCCATTCACCGGACTCTCACCACAGATAGCTTTTTTGATTCATTTGGTGTAAATCACCCTGTGCCAAAAATTCTATCCAGTAAACTCTGCCAAAACAAACGCTAATTAGCCTCAGAGGATCTGTTGCACATTGCTGCTCGCAACTTCCATACTCTGTGTCCAATTATTTAGCAGAGGTCTCTTGCATAGACTTTGTTTTCTCTTTTCAGCGTGTTTTGTGTCTCCAGGAGGCATACCAGAACCCAGTTCGGTAATACACCTCAAACCACCCGGAACGAACCCAGATTTTCTGCACTTCACTCTTCAGGTATCTGGCGATCCCAATTCAGTGGTTTGTGGCATACTTAGCCTGGGAGTGTGCTTATCCCCAGGGCTGAATGCATCTTACCCGATTGGATTCCAGTAAATAGTCTTCGCGCCGTTCATTTTACTGACCCATGTAATATCTGTGCACCTCAGTGCAGTAAACCGTCTTTTTATTGTCGGTGTGCGCCCCGACAGATAGAAACACTGAGACTCAGTCAGTCAGCTTTTCTCGAGGTTTGTCACGGTTGTTTTGGTCAGCGGGAAGTACATATACCTTTATTCTGACAGGTGATGTGAATGCCCAGGTTGCCCTTTATTCGACAGGTGATGTGAATGCTCAGGTTGGCCGGTTGGGTTTTGAGGAAGTCTGTCCTGGCCGCCGATTCGGGTTTGACACTAACCGTACGGTTAACGGCGTCATTTGTTTCTTGCCAGCGCTCACACCGTGTAACTTGGAGACCACTTACTGCAAACCGACTGTGACCTCAGTTGGACCATGTAGCAATTTGCTTCCGGTTGGAACCTTCGATACAAGATCGTCGTTCATTATGGAATACAGGAACTTTAATGCAACCTTGTTGTGCGAGCATGCCTTTTAGTTCCCTTTCCTTCAGGCAGGCCAATTGACGCGGAACTTCTCTGTAACACAGTACTGTGTCGAGTTGAACTGGCTTGAAAGCTTCCAGACTGAAGCCGTACTCACCGCTTTTGAAACCCGCTGGCTGAGGCCGCTTGCTCACCTATATGAACGCTATGCTTCGTCACGATCAGGAACTCTCATTGATGTCAGGAAGGTTATACCAGCAATGTCACAAGTGATGGTGTGCATGGATCCATTAAACGCCAGACAGTCGATAGCCCAAGAATTGACGGAGCACTGGTGGAAATATTTGGCGACCCTGTACTAGCTGATCCGAGGCGGGCTAATGTCAGTAGAGCAATCTCCGAGAGATACGGAACTTCAGTTCATTCGCGGGAACGTTTCGAATGATGGGCTGAAAATTGTGGAGAACGGATCAGCTTGCTGTCATCAATCCAACTCCCGAAAACCTCATATACACCCGGAAGGAATGTTGGCATCGATGACGTAATTTCATCGTGCAATTTAATCGTTTCAACGTAGCCATCTGGTATAGACCGTTTGCATCCTGGGCTTTACAAAGAAGGTAGCGAGTCTCTTGCAGCCTGGACAACTTGACAGTATCTCAGAACTCGTGCTTGCTTCGGGTGTCATGGTAGCTTGGCACCGAAAAGGCGTTACAGCTGAACGTTTGCTTTATTCCGTCATATGGGATGTCAGATTCGCGGTAATTAAGCCAAGTTTCACCCTGGTCGATAGGTGCTGCTTGAGTCTTCTCTACCTGTCTGCAACACCTCAGGGACCGAAGTACTCCCAGGGTGTTCGCTCACAGAAATGCAGTGTGTTGACGGCGTTGATGTTCCTGGACCGGGATCTCTAGAGATGCGAGCCACTACAGATAACCTAAATAGTTTCGCTGCACGTTTCGAAATGCGCTTTACGCCTGAAAACTGCGCAACGTTACTTCGTGGCTGAGTGGGATGAAACCCAAACGTCACCCTCCCAGATGAACCGATCAGTATGGTGGTTAAGCTCATCCATCTGAGCAGCTGCATAAATCCTGGCTGACTGGTGAAAGATGAAATCCAACCCCTGACATTTGTGGTATCGATGTAAAATTAGCTTAGCAGTCAGCGGTAGGGTGTACAGTGCTGTTTTCCTATCTGTCCTACTTTATATATCAGATACCTGACCGCTGCATGCAAATCTTTAAAGACTCTGTGCTTGACCATCGGTACTTCTGAAGCCCCTTGCCTGTCACACCTGCACTGAAGCTGTCCCAGTTCGAGTGGCAGAGGCTTCGAATGATTGTTTGGGGTGGCGTTGATTTCATATTTGCCCTGCACTCGCTTTCCTTTTAATAATTCCATCATGACTAAAGTCGTAACTTGGGAAATGAAACAGTGTTAGGTTGATGTACTGACGCCCAATGAATCGTTCCATAGTCGTAATGAATGTAGTGACAAACTTTGAAGGCTCGTACCATGTTTTCTACCTTATGAGCGCATGAATATATCCCTATCTTCAAAAATGGTACACGGACGCTATGCAAAAACCACCGTGGCATCAGCCTGTTAGCTGCTACTTACCCCCCCCCCACCAAA